AAAACGAACGATTACGTTTCTTTGGATCCGTCGCGCGCGTTCGTACAATTTTTCTCGCGGAAGATCGAACCGCCGGTCAACAGAGCATCGCGGGACGGTTGTTAATAAAAAGAGGCTAAATCAGGGAACCGCCGACAGGAACACGGAAGAAATAATGACCCGCGGATAAATCGTAATGGCCGGGCGCAATAATACGGGCGGATCGATCGAATGTTTAGAACGCCGGGATTACGGTTGACGTGAGTAATTATTTAACTTTATCGTGCAGCGACGAATGCAAATTGCGTGTACAAATGTACGCGTCCTGTAACGGTTACATTCGATTCTGCTGGGACAATCAGAACGCCATAAACCAAAACTATCGCGGCTCAACGCGGCGCGGCGCGGCGCGGCGGAGGCTCCGCTCGTACCGTATCGGCGATGAACAACGGATATTCGTGACACGCCATTTCAATTGAAAATAAACATATTGCCGATCAATCGCGCCCGTTTAATTAACGGCCCGCGGCACGGTTTTCCGGGGACGGCGTCGCGAGCTCGCCGACGAAAACGCGCGCTCGAACATAATAGATCGCGGGAAGATCCGATCGTGCGATATATCGATCGGCGATCGACGGACCGCATCGTCCCGGCGGAAGATTAAAATGATCTTCGGCCGATTTCAGGAAAACGGGCCAGCCTTCCGGCGGTTATCTTTTGTCCGCGCGAAACGTCCGATCGTTTCCGTTCGAAACAAACACCGTTCCTTGAATTTCGACGACAGCCGAAACGTCGACAACGTCGAACATCGGCGTCGCGTCGCGTCGGCCCGCGCTAATGTTAATTCCCGAAGAGATGTGGACGGCTCTGAGTAATGGAAAAAACTAGTAGCTGTCATTCCTGGCCCTTCTAGGGCCAGTCGCCGGCCTGCGGAACTGCAATGGAACTTTTCTGTTCGCCTAATTGTCCTAACGGGTGACCTCAACGCTGATTACTCCGGCGTCCCTTCTTTCCCTCGCCCCCCTGGCTCGTTTCTTTTCTCTCTCCCTTTCTCTCTCTCTCTCTCTCTCTCTCTCTCGCTCTATCGTTCTCTCGCTCTCCGGGAGAGGCGATTCGCAATTAGCGCAAGGGCGGTTCCATGCCGAACGGATCGCTTCTCCGGCTCGCCGTCAGTCATCGTTTCTCGAATTTCGAAATTCTTCAGCTACAAGCCGCCGAGTCAATGCACGCTCGCAACGATCGAACATCGCTAAACGAGAATACGTTTGTATTTCTTTTTCTGAACAAACGTCTCTTCGAATGGAAACAATTTCTTTTTCAGATGCGCGTGACCCTCGAGATTGCCAGAAAAACATTGCTACTCTGTATCCTCGATGGTTGCGGAGATGTAAATTCGAAGGCGAAGACGATTCTCGTGGAAATCGGAGGAAACTGGAGACTTCGTGCGCTCGTAATTCTGGAAGAATTTCGAGGTTCGGAGAACGATGCCACATTAAGTGAACAATCGTAAATTACAAAACTGAGTGACCCGCCATTTTGACGCGTTCCGTAAATCTAGCGTTAAGGTTACATTTAAAATGAAAATAAATATCTTTTCTTTCCTTTCCCTTCGTTTCGTGTTATACATTCATTTATATTTGTAATAAAAAATATATTTATATGCTTATATAAAATTTCAAAGAAATTGTTTCTTTTTAATAAATTTTCGGCACGTAAACCCGCTTCTTGCACCGACTTTGGCTCTCTTACAACGCGATTTCACACGCCACGGCATTTCCTAGGAACCTGTCCACCGTGTTACGGTAAAGTTACCTGTATTTCAATACGATCGCGGTACAGTAATGTCTCCCCAATTGACGCTCAGATTGACCACAAAAAGTGGAGAATTATTGAAGAGGAGATACGATTGTTCGAGACTCGTGGCTCGTTTTTTATGGTTACCGATTGTCAACGACTATAAAAAACGAGCTACAAGGCTCGATTAATCGTGTCTCCTCTTCAAAAATTCTCCACTTTTGTGGACAATCCGAGCGACAGTTAGGGAGACATTACTCTACAGTAATGGACAAAAATGGACAATTTGGAAAGAGGAGATATGTACCATTATTCGAGCCTTGCAACTCGTTTTTATAGTTACCGATTGTCAACGACTATAAAACCGAGCTGCAAGGCACGATTAATCGTATCTCCTCTTCAAAAATTCTCCACTTTTGTGGATAATCTAAGCGACAGTTAGGGAGACATTACTGCACAGTAATGGACAAAAATGGACAATTTGTGAAGAGGTGATACGTACCATTATTCGAGCCTTGCAACTCGTTTTCATAGTTACCGATTGTCAGCAACTATAAAACTGAGCTGCAGAGCTCTACTGATCGTACCTCCTCTTTCCAAATTGTCCACTTTTGTGCACAATCCGAGCGTCAATTAGGGAGACATTACTGTACCTAGCTCGATATCCACGCGGAAAAGCGATGCATTCGGCAGGGAGCGGTCCCTTCCGCGTTATCGAGAGGGGTGGACCTCGATCGATCCTCCTTATCGGATCCGGCGGGATCTCGCGAGAACCTACCAATTATTCCGCGGCATAATTAATTCTATTGGGTATCGTTCTAATCCTGGACGGTATCTTGTCGAATGATTGACAGAAAGTACACTGTAATCCACGAAGAGGGCGGTGGAGGGGGAGGGGGGACGGTGAGCAGAGGACCGGGGCTAGGAAAACGGAATCAAGCCCCGGCTAGACACAACCGGATACTATCCGGCGGATAGCTCGTTAAGACGGTTGAAATCGAGCCGTGCATCGGATTTCTGAAGTACAAAGCCGGATAATTAATGGCAAAGTCATCATGCTCCCGATACCTTCTATCCGGTATCCTTGAGACAGGTGCCAGAGATCGAGTAGCTCCGCGGGCTCGAGGTTTGCCCGAATGAATAATGCCGAGCTCGGCGCGGCTCCGCTCCGCTCGCGGCGCTCGGTTCCTGCGCCCGCGTCCTCTCCGGATAGGTGGCCCTATAATGTCTACGTGTTTGTTTTGCCTGTGCGTGAATGCGGAACGAACGCGACCGATGCGGCACCGCCGCGGCGCCGCTGGAACTAGGACCCCCATCATAATGTTCATGGGATATTTACATCCGCGCTTAGAGATGCCGCGGCACCGGCTAGACGTGCGAGGGATTTCTAAGCATAAATATTTGTATGCGCTCGCGCAACAGAGAGAGAGATAGAGGAGAGAGAGAGAGAGAGACCGACGGAGCTCATTGAATTCGTAGAAAACGCGCGCCGGCCGCACGGGGATGACGGCCTATGGACCCCCGATGGGCTCGGTGTCTCATGAAATTTGTAGCCCGCTCGCTCTAAAAAGCCTGCTGCGACCACTTCAGCTTGCCACAGTCCGCTTCGGGCCGCTCCAGACCGCTTCAAACCCGCTCCGCCGGTTTCTAGCCGTGGCTCGCGCTGATATAATAGACGAACGCGCCGCATCCCCGACGACTAGAACGCGGAAGTTCCTACGAATTCGCACTTTTCTTTCCCGGTTTTTTGGGGGGAACTGGCAACTCGATGCATTTTCTATCTTCTTGGTTTAACCTGGGTGATACGGAGTTCAAATGATCCGGCGCGTTGACGCGCGGCGAAATTCAGTTTGTTTTACGGTCGGCGTACGAAGCGAATTTCTCCCTAATTCGCGCTTGGATCGCGCACAGAAATGGACGATTTGGGAAAGGGAGATGCGATTATTGGAGCCTTGCACCTCGTTTTTATAATTGTTGACGATCGGCGAGGATACGAATGAGCCGCGGGGATCGCATAATCGCATCTCCTTTTCTCAAATTGTACGGTTTTGTTTGGAAGCTGAGGGAAAATTGGGCAGATTATTGTTATATATTATTAAATACTAGATTGTTATATATTATTATATTTAAGATTATATTATATATTGTTATATAATAGATTTTTATATATTATTACACATTTAAGATTATATTATATATTATTCTATAATAGATTATTATATATATTATTACATATAAGATTATATTATATATTATTACATTTAAGATTATAGTATATATTATTCTATAACAGATTATTATATATATATATATATTATTACATTTAAGATTATATTATATATTATTATATAAGACATTAATACATATTATTATATTTAAGATTATATTATATATTATTCGTGCACCTTCTAAGACGGAATCGCTTTTTTACAATTACACCCAGCGATCTAAATTTTTTAGAGGCATTAGAGGCATTAACCCTTTGAGGACGAACGTCGACATACTAACGACCAGTTGCGAACGTATAGATTGTTAACGTACGTAACAAAATATCACGATATATTATTGTTCATTTTTCACCTTATTCAAGCTTTTCAAACATAATCTAATCCTCTGAGAAATATAATCTTAGAACTTTTTAAAAAAAACCTCATCCGCGAACAATGACTAAAAAATTGCAATCGAGCGACACGACCGAGGAATTAATAAATGATGTTTCAGCAACGTTCCCTTCTTCGTCGGAAACCATAACGAAAATTGAAGAAACGCATTTCGCAGATCTCTCTGAGAGTTTTTTTGTCAGATCAGCGCAAACGCCTAAAAGATCAGTGCGACCGAAGGGTTCGATCAAACTCTTCAGCATCGAAGAAACGGAACGGCTGAGCGCCGCGATGCCTCCAGCGGCCTGCAGAAATTGCGCGATCCTTCATATCAGCCGTGATAAAAAAAAACGTTAGCCCTCTCGATAACGATAACATTCCCGCGGCTACGTTCGTATCTCTGTATAGCGATCGAGAACGATTCTAATTAGCACGTTACGAACGCGAGGCGCATCTCATTCAGAGAAAAACTCTCTTTAATCTCCGTTCAGCTTTTCTGCGATCGCTCGTGCTCGGCTGCCGGAATCCTTTCCCGGAGTAGCGACAACCGCGACAAAGAAGCCGCGATAAAACGAGCGGATAAGACGGCCGGATTCGGTCGTCTATATAACGCGCGGGGCAGCAATTCTTTTTCTGTCACAAGTCCGCCATGTCTGCACAGAAGGTGATCGCGTGTTTGGCGATTGTGCTGGTCGCTGTGATCGAAGCCGATTGCTGGCCCACAGCCGCCGCCCCGGACCCGAGTCCCGAAAACGAGATCTACGCGAACAATTACAGCGTCGAGTCGCAGAACTGCACGATCGGGTACGGGGATCCCGGCGACAGGTTGGTCCTCCTTGAAACCATCACCGTGAAAGGCAGCGGTACGCAAGTCAGGAATGTCACGAAGCTGTTCAACCGGAGGCAATGGGAGATGATCACTATGATCCAGGCCGTCGATCAGAAACCGAAAGACAACGCGTCGTGCGCCATGCTGATCAACAGTGGGCCCGGATTCGTCAGCGTCACCTTCAAGTTCAAGAGCCAGAAGGGCCTGGGGATCAACTATTATCTCGAGATCTACGCTCTGCCGGCCAAATAGTTCCGATCCTGGCGGCGGCCATTCTTCTCCTTCTTCTATTGTATTCAACTAGTCGAACGTGTTTAGACGAGAACACTATTTATTTGCATGCGTCGCGTTGCATTCGATGCGCTCTAATCTCGGACGAATCTAAGATCGTACTTGTTACCGTGAATCTCGATTATAACGCTAAATCGTGTTGCAATTATGTGAAGACAATAAACGTCTGAAAACGTTGCAGGAAATTTGTAGCATTGTTTCTTCGATCCGTCGGTGACACAACCCTCGATTTTCCTTGATCTATTGCAAATGGATGGTTCTCAATTCAATTGAAACGCGTAGTTTTTGATTAAATTAAAATACGTAGATTGTAATTAAATTGAAATAGGTAGTTTATAATTAAATTGAAATACGTAGTTTATAATTAAAATTAAAATACGTAGTTTATAATTAAATTAAAGTACGTAGTTTATAATTAAATTGAAGTACGTGGTTTATAATTAAATTGAAACACGTAGTTTATAATTAAATTGAAATACGTAGTTTATAATTAAATGAAAAAATACGTAGTTCTTAAATAAATTAAAATACATAGTTCCTAATTACATTGAAACTGCGGCTCTCAATTATATTTCTCTTAAATGCTCGTTCTACGACCTCCTCATTAGCTACGATGACCGACACTTCGTCCTTCTGAATAATTTTCCCGATTGAACGAGACGATTTTTGTTTCTTGCGTGTCTTCGTCTACTTTCATTTCTCTCGATTTCGTGACAGCAGAAGTATCAAATGTTGCTTCGATTCAAAAGAAATGCATAATATCCCTCTAGTCACGTGCTCGACTCGTTGTTCTGGCGCTGTAAAATTTATTCCGACGTGTCTTGCCGTAACGATTCGATCGCAAACGTTCCTATTTGTTAATTTGACACTGCAGATATGTTTCGAAGAAATTCATCATTTTATTTCGAATTTAATCGCACAGCAAGACGCGGAACGTATACGTAAATAATCGTGTAACAAGAGCAAAATAATTACGGTAAATTCTCCGCGATTGTCCCTCAGCTTGCGAACAGAAATGGACAATTTGGGAAGAGGCGATGCGATTATTCGAGCCTCGGGATCTGTTTTTACAGTTGCCAATTGTCAACGGCTATAAAAACGAGCCCCGCAAGGGTCGAATAATCGCATCTCCTCTTCCCAAATTGTACGTTTTTGTTTGAAAGCTGAAGAACATTTGGGGAGATTATTATTATTATATATTATTACATATAAGATTATATTATATATTATTATTGTAATTGATTATTATATATTATTGCAGTTAAGATTATATTATATATTATTATACAATAGATTATTATATATTACTATATATAAGATTATATTATATATTATTACATATAAGATTATATTATATATTATTATACAATAGATTATTATATATTACTATATATAAGATTATATTATATATTATTACATATAAGATTATATTATATATTATTATACACTAGATTATTATATATTACTATATATAAGATTATATTATATATTATTATATAATAGATTATTATATATTATTACATATAAGAGTAAACTAAACTATAGCAAAGTGTCTAAATAACATAGTATAGTGGTTAATAACATTGCATAGTGGCATAATAAACCAATTGTCCCACAGTTCCATTACTCGATTTGACCCTTTCACGGGCACAATATGAATTTTCAAGATGGCAGCACGTTTTAACGGGGCGGGGAGGGGGGATATTTGAGCCTGGTGGTCCATATGCGCGCTAAAAGTGGGTGACAAGTATAGTTCCCAGTGCCTACGGAAGGGTTACGGTGCAAAATGCCACGAAACTCGCGGAATGGACACCTTGTACAGAGAGGTTCAGCGTCGATGAAAGAAACGGCTGATCACCGTGACGCCTCCGCCAATGCAATAATAATAATGTATGAATCATACATTAGCCGCGATAAAAAAAAAACGATAACAATATCATCTCGATAACAATTACATTCCTGCGTCTCAGTCATAACCGGGGACTATGATCGAGGACGGGTTCTGATTAGCAGATATGCGGTCTCATTAAGAAACCATTTCCTAAATTTCCGTTCAGCTTTATTTTTGCACGCCGAGCTTATGCTCGCTGTCGAATCATCGCCGGATGATCGAATTGCGATTGCAAAACAGGGGTCGCGATAACCGAGCTGATAGAACGCGCGCGGATCGGGACTATATAACACGGGGAGCCGCAATTTTTTTGCGCATCGTGATCGTCACAGCGAGCGAAACGTGATTCTATAGTTCGCGAGAAGCACAACGGAAAAAAAGTACTCGCCATGTCTGCTCTGAAGCTGACGGTGTGCCTGGCGACGGCGATGCTCGCTCTGGTCGCGAACCAAGTTGGTTCGGCACCGTTTTACGAGAACTACGTCGGCAATAACGGCATCATTGGGCGCAGGGTGCCCGGCGACGTGCTGATCGCCCGCGAATATATCGTGACGGACGAAAGACGGGCGCTGGACACAAAATTCGCGATGCAGCTCAACGTGACGGAATGGGAAAAGATCACTTCGGTCAGCCTTATTAATAACATAGTCGACAGCAACGCTACTTTCCTGTCTACCATGACTCACAATGGTAAAACCGTCGACTACACCATCGCGCTCAAGGGACCGGTCGGCCAGATAACGAACATGACTATTGAGATTTACGCTCTTCCAGACTTCTGCACGTTTAACTAATCGAAAGTGTTTCACGGGAACGCTGTTTATTTCTACGCGTTGCGCGCGCGCACTCGATGTACTCTAATCACTGTAAACTGTACTTTATCTTTTTCCAATTATGCGAAGACAATAAAGCCGTGAAACCGGCACAGAAGATTTGTACTGTTGTTTTCTTCGATCCGGTCGGCGGCACAGCCGCCAATTTTCCTTAATGTATCGCAAATAGGTGGTTCCTAGTTAGATGAAAATATGTAGTTTTTAATGAAATGGAAACATGTAGATCTTAATGAAATGAATATATGTACATCTTAATGAAATGAAAATATTTAGATGTTAATTAAAAATGAAAATGTGTAGTTCTTAATTAGGTTGAAAATACGCGCGGTTCTCGATGTAAATTGAAGTACGTAGTTCTTAATTTCAATTAAAATACGTAGCACTGAATTGAATTGAAACTGCGGTTCTCGATTGTGCTTCTCTTAAATGCTCGTTCCACGACTCTCCTCGTTAGCTACGCTGTTCGACGCTTCATCGTTCTAAATAATGTTCCGAATTGTGAACGAGACAATTTTGGTTTCCTCGCGTGGCATCGTTCGCTTTCGTTACTCGACCCAGATAGCATGAAGAAACAAACGTTGACTCGATGCGAAAGAAAATGCATGATATTCGTATTCAGTAGATCGTGCAGGAAACGTTCGTCGCGAGCCTAACTCGTTGTTCTGGCGCAAGCGGTGGATGTAAAATTCATTCCAGTTTAAACGGTGTACGAATACTTTGCACACCGACTGTACTAATTACTAGAGCGCAGTAGCATTATTAGGAATACAAAGCGCATTTGAAATGCAATGTATTGGGTCTCGATTCATTAGTTCGTGCGTTTTTCATTTCGCTGGCATAATTGGCTCGAGTCGGTCTCAGGTTGACGAGCACAAAATGTGTGCTTAAGTTGGGAAGAGTTGTTTTTTTTTTTTTAAACTATGCAGCGTCGACTTTACAAGAATTAATCACTTTACTACATTGTTACACCACTATACTAAGTTATATTATATTATTTTATATTATATTGTTATGCTATATTATGTTATATTGCTATACTATATTATGTTATATTATTATACTACATTATGTTATATTATTGTATTATTTGATATTATATTGTTATACTATATTATGTTATATTATGATACTATATTATATTATATTATTATAATATATTATGTTATATTATTATACTATATTATATTATATTATTATTACTATATTATACTACATTATTATACTGTATTATTTTATATTATTAAACTATATTATGTTATATTATTATACTATTTTATATTATATTATTATAATGTAGTATAATATAGTATAATAATATAATATAAAATAGTATAATAATATAACATAATATAGTTTAACAATATAAAATAATACAGTATAATAATGTAGTATAATTATTTAACCACTTTACTATACTATACTCCACAAATTATTCCACTTCACGTGGAATATTCGTTCTTGTTAACTCGACACTTATTCCCGACGGTTATTACGAAGGACGAAGGGGTCGAGAGAAATGCAATTAAAAGCTACAGCGAAGCAATCTTATATTAAGGAGAGATCTAGAGAGTTTGCGTCGTCTGTGGATCAAAGAAACAACGGTAAAAACGTTCTGCAACGATCTCAAGCTTTTATTGTCTTCACATAATCGGCGTTAGAGAGTGTGTCCTCGGATTCGAGCGTATCGAATGCGGATAAACAGCAACAAATACATCGAAATAAACATCGTTTTCGTTAAACAATTTTTTTACAAGTTAGATGTACAGAGTTGAACGTTTGCTCTGCCGGGCATCATCGTCGTCGGATGCCTCGGTCGTTTCAACGGCCGTAAAGCTCGACGACGAAGTTGATCCCGTGACCCCTCTGGCTCTTGAACTTGAGGGTGACGCTGTTCTGTCCGGGTCCGCCGCTGATCAGGGAGACGTACGCGCCGTTGCCGTTGGTTTTCTGATCAAGAGCCTGCACGTAGGTGATCTTCTCCCACAGCGAGGTGGTGTTGAACGTCTTCGTTTTGCTCTTCACCTGCAGCCAGCTGCTGTCCACGATGATATTCTCGCGGTAGATCAGCTTGTCGCCGGCCACCCTGTAGCCGACGTAAAAGTGGTGCGATTTGTTCCCGTCCTTGTTCGCGTAGCTCTCGATGCCCGGGGCCGAAGCGACCTCGGTGGCGATCACGGCGACCAGTGCTATCGCCAAGCACACGAACAGCCTCTTAGCAGACATCGCGAGCTTTCTTTTCCGTCGTACTTTCTCGCGAACTGTATGTATATATATAGGAATCACGGTTTCCCCTGGCGATCGGTTTATGACACGAAACTTGTTGCTCCGTTCGTTATATAGCCGCGACGCGTCGTCTTATCAGCGCGTCTTATCGCCGCTTGTTTCTCACGATTCGCTTGTCCTGGAAAGATTCGGTGGCGGAGAGCTTGAGTAATCGAGTGCTTTCGTAACGAGAGAAAATTCGAAGCGCAGCTAGCGCGTGCTAATTAGAACCGTTCGCGATCCACTGACTGAGTCATCCGCAGAAATGAATTAGGTACAGGTACGTTGTTATCGCTATCGGGGAGCAAACGTTTTTATCGCGCGGCCGACGTGCGTGCGATAGAATTTTTATCGAGCAATTTTCGCGCGATGCGAACCGATTTGTATTTCGATCGCCGAGCGTAATTAAAACCATTTGCACTCGAGTGGTGACTCTGGGGCACCGTTAACACATTGTTACACAGCATATTCCAAGATAATTTTTATGCTAACGAAGTTTACATTTAAGAAATTGTTAACAGCGTAACCGTTGCACAAGTCACCGCAGGACTCAATTTCGTATGCATGAAACGCGCCTTGTTACGTAAAATGGAAATACTGTATGTCAGAAAAATTATTTTAGGTTTACGGTTGGAACAACCCTCGAGTGCGAAGGGTTAATTTTGGCACTGCGGACGATGACGTGGAATCACGGATCTACGCGCGCGCGGATCTTATCGCGTGTTTTTCTATTTTCTTTCGTTTTTCCCTCGGAAAGCATTAACAGTGACCTAAACGCGACTAGTGTAATATCTCTCGGCCGCCCACCCGGGGACATGGTAACGTGGCTCTCGAAGGTCCGTTTAGGGTCGCGGCTTTCAACGGATCCGAGATAAAGCGGGACCGCCTGTTATATTTTACGAAATCTCTCGTGTTTTGTAATTCCTTGAACATTTTTATACGCTGTAAACGCGCTTGTCCGCCGATAGCGTTTCCGAAAATTTACGGCACTCGGGGAGGGTTGCACGCGACGCTGTGAAATGGCAGGTCCTTTAATGGCCGGCCACGACGGCATGATATAGCGAGATATATCGGCGCTATACGTCCCACGTTCAAGCAGTCTATGTAAATATTTTGTATTAAAGTTGTAAATTCGTAATTATCGTCGTCATCTGGTCTTTCGAAGTTATGTACTGCCCCTAGTTTTCAACCCCTTACGACAAATTAGTTATTCGGTTACGCCGCCGTTATATTATAAATCATGCTCTACACGCCTATCTATCCTTCGTATTTTCCCGATAACTATTTCTCGCGATACCTTACAGAGAAGGATCCGTTCGCGTTAATCGATCCGGTTATCGAGAATTTTCGCTTGTATCGTGAAATCTAATCTAGATGAAACGAATCGACGAATAATGGAATCATTTATTCCACTTGTCTCTTTTCGATCGTAACGTTACCGCGAATTAACCGTGTTATCTTAACAATAAATTCGGCCGACAAGCGATACACGTGTCAGTAAACAATACGCGTGTCAGCGTGTAATTGTACTTATTGTTTCTCACGGCATGGAAAATGCGACGATAGTAATGCGAATATATTTATATATTACTGATTATATATTATTTATATATTATTGATTATATATTATTTATATATTATTTATTATATATTTATTTGTATATTATTTATTATTATATTATATACTATATTTATACACCATTTATTACATATTATTGATTGTGATTATTATATATATTATATCATTATTTATTATATATTATTGATTATTGATTTATTATTATATACATATATATTATTAATATTATAATATATAATTGATATTGTAATAATATAATAATATTATATATTATTACAAATATATAATAATCACAATTAATATAGTATTATAATAATATAATATTATAATATATTATAATATAATATATATTATATCATCATTTATTATATATCATTGATTATATATATTGATTTATTATTATTATGTATATCACATATAATTAATACTGTAATAATATAATAATATAATATATTATTATGTATATATTCACCACAATCAATAATATACAATATTAATCTGTTTTCGCGAGCGATGCTCGAGATTCGAGGCAGCATTCGTCGACCGTTCCGGTGAAAAACGTCCTTGACACGGTTCCGTCGACACGGGGGGATCATGCGCGAGCAACTCGTGGTTGCCATAACCGATATTCGGTTCGCCGGGTGTATTTAGCAATCGACTAAATGATCCCGGGGAATCTGCTCGCCCCGACGCGGGGAGCTAAGTGCATATACGCACGAGGTAACGCGTCGGATGCTCGCACGGGTTAACAAGCATCTGGGCAAACAACCTGCGACGACCTTGACAAAGTAGCCGCCCGCCGTTGGCAATCGGTGCGGCGGCGGCGGCGAGCTTGCGGCGATGCGGGACGTCGAATTCACAGTCACGCGATCGGCTTCAGCGAGCGCTAAGCAAACAGGAAGATGATTCACGGGCGGAACAGCTGTACCGTCGGGTTCGCGGAACGGGTCGATCGCGATCGCGTATCGTTCGAATTAACGATCACGCTCGAATCGAGATTTCAGCGATAACAAGAACCGCTCGCACGCTCGCTCGATTTTCGCGAGTTTCTTCGAGGAGCCGCGCGCGCCCGTTATCAGCGGAACGTTGACGTCGACGGCCGCGTCGGCGGACGCGCGATGCAAACTATTTACGTTACTCCCGCGGCAATTTCGATGCGCATAAGTTAAACTGTTCGATCATACGTTACGCGGATGCTTTCAGAGGCTCCGTGTATCGAGAGCTTGCGCGCACCAGATCGGGGTTACGGTGTGTACGCGCGCGCGCGCGTGTGTGTGCTTGTGTACGCGACGGAACAGTGTACACACGGCAGGATGCGGAGCATTCGATGGAGTCGGGTCGCCCGTGAATTATAGAGAATGTCGTCTATTATGGGATCCGGGGCCGAACACTTTACACACGGTCTACCAGCGATGATCGTTGTTTCCAGCTGCAAAGTCGTTCGTTTGTACAGGGTGTTTCGTAATTATGTCGGCGGAGAAATGAGCACGAGGTTATTTCGAGTAACTTTTTCCTTAGCGGAAATGCGATCCGAGGCTTAGTTTGCGAGTTATCAGCGAAAAACGGTGGCCAATGAGAGGCGAGCTCGGCTGGCGCGAGGCGGTCGACGGCGGCTCGGTGGCCAGTGAGAGGCGAGCTCGGCCGGCGCGAGGCGGTCGAAGGCGGCGCAACGAGTGCCTAGCGCTGGGCGAGCTTGACTCTCATTGGTCAGCGTTTTTCGTTGATAACTCGCAAACGAAGCCGCGGATTGCATTTTCGCTAAGGAAAAAGTTACTTGAAATCACCTCGGGAATCACACCTTTGCGACTGATAACGTAATCATGGGACTCCCTTCTATTATTTAACCCTGGACAAGTAGAAACGTTGCTGTGAATAAAAATGGAGAGATGTTCGATTCAGCGGCGACTGTTTATTGTTAAAAATTGTTACAAATTTGGTGAAAGTTGTACAGAAGAAAATTTCGTACAGGCAGAGAAAACTGTTTATCGGACGTACGAATGAAAAGATTAATGAATAAAGTTGAAGAAAATGGTTCACTTGCAGATATAGTTAGTAAACAACGTCATCGTGGTGTTCGTTCGTGCTTAACGTAATTATGGAACACCCTGTAGACAGAGAGACTAAGAAACTAGCTCGTGGTGGGACAAATGGGCTAATATAGGTGTAAAAAAAAGTCACGTGAGGAAATCGATGTGTCTTCTGTTTGTTCATGTGCCAGAATGTTCAAGGGGACCAATAATATCCAAAAGAATGTACGGCGACGCCCGTTAATATTCGGACACTTTTTAAAACGCGACAACTTTTTAAAAACTGGAACGAACGATTTGATTTCTTTTTTATTCGACGATAGAGGGACTAGTATACTAGACAATGATTAAGCTACTTTGTTACAATTTTGCTATTATCCGAAAGACTCTCGTTTTTCAACTTTTTTATTATTCATAACGAAAATGTAAAAAAATGCGTTTCGCAGATCTCGGTAAGTTGAAGATTTCCTCGAAATCGGTTAACGCGAGGACAAGTTACAAGCGTCGAGAGATCACTGTGCGAAATAAAAATTGTCCGCGTCGATTGCAAGACGTTGAAGCCAAGTAATAAATAACTTTAAATTAAACCGAAGTTGTAATTAACGCAACAACGTTTTTTTAGTTTCCTCGAATTTTTGTTCACTGTTCCATGCTTCGTCGATACATTGTTCCCATAAATGCATAAAATCCGCGATCTAGTCACGGATTGGAAGTTGTACGAGAACAACCGGTAATTGTTTTTCCACTTTCCTGTTCGACTTTGTTTTCTCAGTTACGGCGAGTTTCTTTTTTAACGTGCACGCGTTCACAACAACTCGTCCGAGCTCGAAAACAAAGTCGAATAGGACGTACGTTTACAGGAACTTTTTCTAGTGTTTTCCTGTCTACAATCTATCCCTGAAGTGGTTCCCACGTTCTACCGGACAGCCTGCATATTAATTTTATTTGTACATATTTTTTATAGCCTGCATATATTTTATATTTTGCAAATGTTATGCAGGAACAGTGAGAAACGTTTGGTAATACAAATTTTGGTTCCAATTTTCGCAATTAAACAATTTTGTTCGCGACTACAATCGACAGGAAAGTCAGCACAAATAACGTTACTGCTGCGTTTAATAATACAAATTTTAATACAATGTTCGTCGTTTAATAATATAAATTGTAATAACGCTAAATGATATAAGTTCTTCTTTTAATTTTCGCAATTAAGCAATCTTATCCATGATTACAATCGACAGGAAACGAAAGTTTAAAGTCTCTAGTTTAGGTCAACCATGTACAAATTAACAAAAATAGCGTTATTGTTGACTAGAATATTTTTATAATACAAATCTTGGTTCCAATTTTCGCAATTAAACAATTTTGTTCGCGATTACAATCGACAGGAAAGTCAGCACAAACAACGTTACTGCTGCGTTTAATAATACAAATTTTAATACAATGTTCGTCGTTTAATAATATAAATTGTAATAACGCTAAATGATATAAGTTCTTCTTTTAATTTTCGCAATTAAGCAATCTTGTTCATGATTACAATCGACAGGAAACGAAAGTTTCAAGTTTCTAGCTTAGGTCAACCATGTACAAATTAACATAAACAGCGTTATTGTTTACTAGAATATTTTTCCATCAAGTATTCTCCGATTGTCCACCTGTGCGGCTGGCTCGTCGCCGTTCCGCCTCCAGCGGTGCGCAGGAAATACGCGATCTTACTTACGTTGGCCGCGATAAAAATGTTTGCTCTCCATAGCGAGAACATTTGTGTACCTAATTACTGTACCGCGGTTCTTTATATGAAGCAAAAATCGTTCGCTTCGACGGCAAGACGCTGGAACTTAACAAATGCTTACAGCAATGTCTCTCTAATTAACGCTCGGATTGTCCACAAAAATGAACAATTTGAGAAGAGGAGATACTATTGGGTTGGCAACTAAGTAATTGCCGACTTGTTCAATGAAATAAAAAATTTTTTCTACTTGGAACGAAGTTTAATCTGTAATGTATTTTCCATTTTGTTCGATGACCTTTTGCCATCGCTCTGACAACTTGAAAATTCCACGCTCGTAGAAAGTCTGATCCTTTTCGGCCAAAAACTGAGTTAAGCGAGATTTTACAGCGTCGTCGTCATTAAAAGTTTTACCACGAAGGGAGTTGTCCAGGGATCGAAATAAGTGGTAATCCGATGGCGCGAGATCAGGACTATATGGTGGGTGTAACATCGATTCCCAATCAATATCCATGAATTTTTGCCGAGTGGACAAAGACGTGTGCGGCCTAGCATTGTCCTGCTGGAAAATGGCACCTTTACGATCGACCAATTCTGGTCGCTTTTCCTTGACCGCTGCATTCAATTTGTCCAGTTGCTAACATTCACGGATAATAAAAAATAACATAATAATAATAATAATAATTTTATAATATAACATTTACGGACATCATAAAAATGGGAGTGAGAGACATCTATAACTGAAATCGGCAATTACTTAGTTGCCAACCCGATATTATTCGAGCCTTGCGGTTCGTTTTTATAGTTACGAATTGCCAACAACTATAAAAAAACGAGCTACAAGGCTCGAATAATCCTATCTCCTGTTCCCAAATTGTCCACTTTTGTGGACAATCCGAGCGTCAGTTAGGGAGACATTACTGTATTTCCTTTCTGAATACATTTCACGCGTTTTTCACCGTCTCCGATATCGTCTGCTCGTCGTTGTCGTAACTTTTTATCTTCAATTTTAAATCCTAATTTTTTATCTTTATTTCTTAATCACTCCCGACGATGACTCGGACTTTGGAGAACGGTAGCAATTTCCCGAACAAGCGGAATCCTCTTCTCGTGGAATCTCTATCGATAGCTTCTTCTTAATCGTGAGCGCTGTCATCTCGTCGATAAAACGTTTCTTGTTGTAATTCGTAAACAAAAGCATTCCGCAAAAAAGTTGGATGGCAATGGTTTTGAGAACGTTTCACTTATCTCGCACGATAATCAATCGATGTTGTTGGCACTCGAGCCGGTGGAGGTCTTCATCTTCCGTCACGCGTTCCCGGAATAAATCTTTCCAGGTACAGTGGCCCGCAAAAGTGTTCGTACACCTGTTAAAATGCTATTTCGAAACTGAACCAGATGAATTGAATTTCTTTTTCAGATGATAGAAGGATCAGTTCCACTATACGACGACCGAAGTGCTTTTTTTTCTTTTTAATTTTGCTGTTACTTGGAACGACGAAAAAAAAGATAAAAATCTCTCGCTTTTTATCTCTTTTACATGAGCCTGTAAAATTTAATATACGTTTTTAATGAATTTAAAAAAATGTCTTTCGTAGATCTAGGTAATTTATATGCACGTTGAAAATTTTATCGAGATCGGTTCACGTTGTTACCAGTTATAATAAATTGAAGATCGCAAAAATCGCAGTTTTATCACGATCTTGACCAAAAAAAAAGAACTGTAACCAATCTTTTTAAAATCCTTCGACGCCTGCAGCTGGGTTAACCGATTTCGATGAAATTTTCAACACGCATACAGGTCACCGAGATCTACGAAATGCATTTTTTAGATTTTTCTATATAGAAAATCGGATAGAAAATATTAAAAAGGGAGAGATTTTTATTTTTTCGTCGTTCCAAGTAATAGCAAAATTAAAAAAGAAAAGAAGCATTTCGGTGATCGTCTAGAAGACTAGGCCTTCTGTCATCTAGAAAAGATTCAAGTCGTTCAGTTCAGTTTTGAAATAGTTATTGCATTTTAACTTTCATGAAAGAGCTATTGCATTTTAACTTCCACGAAACAGTTATCGCATTTCAACTTCGATGAAATAGTTATTGCATTTTTTCATTTCACTCCAAGTAATGGCAAAATAAAAAAAAAGCTTTTTAGCCACCGTCCAGTAAACTAGTTCCTCTATCATCTGAAAAAATTCGTCATTCGGTTCAGTTTTGAAATAGTTATTGCATTTTAGCTTCTATGAAACAGTTATCGCATTTCAACTTCCATGAAATAGTTATTGTATTTTTTCTTTTCACTCCAAGTATGGCAAAATAAAAAAAGGCTTTTTAGCCACCGTTTACTAGACTAGTCCCTCTATCATATAAAAAAGATTCAAGTCATTCGGTTCAGTTTTGAAATAGTTATTGCATTTTAATTTCTATGAAACAGTTATCGCATTTCAACTTCCATGAAATAGTTATTGTATTTTTTCTTTTCACTCCAAGTATGGCAAAATAAAAAAAGGCTTTTTAGCCACCGTTTACTAGACTAGTCCCTCTATCATATAAAACAGATTCAAGTCATTTAGTTCAGTTTTGAAATAGTTATTGCATTTTAACTTCTACGAAGCAGTTATCGCATTTCAACTTCGATGAAATAGTTATTGTATTTTTTCTTTTCACTCTAAGTAATGGCATAATAAAAAAAGGCTTTTTAGCCACCGTTTACTAGACCAGTCCCTCTATCATCTAAAACAGATTCAAGTCATTTAGTTCAGTTTTGAAATATTAGGTCTACCGCGGAAAGATCTGCCCGTTTGAGAACTGAAAGGAAATAATGCGATTTTTCATAAATTTAGTAATATTTATTGTACAATATAATTTCTGTCATTANCTCCAAGTATGGCAAAATAAAAAAAGGCTTTTTAGCCACCGTTTACTAGACTAGTCCCTCTATCATATAAAACAGATTCAAGTCATTTAGTTCAGTTTTGAAATAGTTATTGCATTTTAACTTCTACGAAGCAGTTATCGCATTTCAACTTCGATGAAATAGTTATTGTATTTTTTCTTTTCACTCTAAGTAATGGCATAATAAAAAAAGGCTTTTTAGCCACCGTTTACTAGACCAGTCCCTCTATCATCTAAAACAGATTCAAGTCATTTAGTTCAGTTTTGAAATATTAGGTCTACCGCGGAAAGATCTGCCCGTTTGAGAACTGAAAGGAAATAATGCGATTTTTCATAAATTTAGTAATATTTATTGTACAATATAATTTCTGTCATTACTTATGACCTCTTGCCAGCGTGATGGTAATTTGTGAGCAACATTTTTATATATGTCTCAAATGAATACGTGCGTATCTATCGAAATTTGCAGTGACAATATCGGACAGAACTTTCCGGTAGACCTAATAATGATCGCATTTTAACTTCCACGAAACAGCTATTGCATTTCAACTTCCATGAAATAGTTATCGCATTTCTCCCTTTCACTCCAATAACAAAAATAGCTTCTTAGCCGCCGTTTACTAGACCAGTCCCACAATCATCCAAAGAAGATTCAACTCATCCGATCCAGTTTCGAAAAAAGTTATTGCGTTACAAACGATGTACGAACACTTTTCTGTGCCGCCTGTAGATCATTGCAAACAGACCGCGATAAGCGACCCGATAAGGCGACCGTATAGAGCCTATATAAGGGACGGTGCAGCGGAGGCCGCATCAGAAGCCGACGAGAATCGTGATTCCTTCAGTTCGCGAGAAGTACAAGGGAGAGAGAGAAAAGTTCGCCATGTCTGCTCAGAAGCTGGTTGCGTGCCTGGCGATTGCTCTGATCGCCGTGATCGCCACCGAGGTCACCTCGGACCCGAATTACAACTACTACGCCAGCAATAACAAGTCGTACAACTTGTCCATCGGCTACAGACAGCCCGGCGACAAGCTGATGCTCCGCGAAAATGTCATCGTGTCGAGCAGCTGGATGCAAGTCAAAACTGTCACGAAGAAGTTCAACGTGTCGCAATGGTACAGGATCACTTTGGTCGAGGCTATCGATCAGAAGACGAACGGGAACGGTGCTCGCCCATCCCTGATCGCCGGCGGACCCGGTTACAGCAACGTCACCCTCAAGTTCACCAGCCAGAGGGGCCACGGGATCAACTTCGTGGTCAACGTGTACGCGCGTTAATGTGACGATCAATCGCGCCGCCGACGACGCGGACAACGTTCCTGTAGAAGGATCTTCGTTTCATGAAAGTATTCAACGATCCGACTATTTACGTCTCTCCGAGACGCGTTATCATATGGTTGCGCGCTCTAGTACGAATTATGCGAACGGAATAAAAATACCTTGACACCATTGCGTCGCTGTGATTTCTTTGTACGCCCTTCGTTTTCCCTAACGTGTCGCGAATACGTAGTTTGTTTTTAATCTATCTGTTGCTATTCGAGTTGTTTCCTTCATTGCTAAGATTTTTTAAAATATATTTTACTTGTTATTTATATTTGTTTAGAAAACGCAGTTACATATTTCTTTTTTTAAATGGCATTCTTGTTATATTTGACCTTCTTAGTTGAATTAGTATCTATGATCATCCGAAAAAATAAAGCTTTAGATTAATGAAATTGTTTTGAAATAAATAAGTGAAACTGCATTTGTAACTCAACTTCAACGAAGTTGAATAGAAATAAAAATCAGTTTATAAATAAAGAATTTTGTATTTATATATTGCGCGAAGAAATTGGACAAATTTGATCGACCGTAACTACGCGAGAAATCGTCGTAAAATGATGACTATTTTTTTAAATTAAAGCTTGAAATCTCTGCTTTAAGATGACGTTCCTAGATTTCAAGTTTGACGTACCCTCATTGCCGTAACCCTTTAAAAGTGAGGCCATGTTTGTCGTATTGAAAAGTGTCAAGTTTGACGGAATACACGGACTTTGTAAAATTTTTTTCGGATACGCCGTTTATTGCGAAATAAAGCTCGATTCTTCCTCTTTAATTTAAAAAAAATGAAACCTGTCTGCGATTTTTTATCGCGAAGTTATAGCACTTTAAAGTAGCCTCATCAATCTCATACATGGGTCCTCTGTCGAAAAGGGGTAGTTTCTGTATGGTTACATTTAAATGTGTACAGTGGAAAGCGTGCGTTAAACTTAAAATCCAAACATACTGTCTTAAAGTAGAACTTTCAATCCCTACTTCAAGGTACCGCTTCTCGATTTTAAGTCCGATACACCCTTGTCACAGTGATCGTTTAAATCCGAGGTCATGTTTGTCGTATTGAAAGTTGCCAAGTTTGACGAACTGCACGGACTTTGTAAAATTTTTTTCGGATATGCCATTTACAGTAGAATTAACCTTGATCCTTCCTCTTTCATCTAAAAGAAATAGAACCCGTCTGCGATTTTTCCTCGCGAAGTTACAGCACTTTAAAGTAGCCTCGTCAATCTCATACACAGGTCCTCCGTCAGAAAGGGGTAGTTTCTGTATGGTTACATTTAAATGCTTACAGTAGCGAGGCTGCGTCAACCTTAAAATTCAAAAATACCGTCTCAAAGCAGAGGTTTCAAGCTTCGATTTAAAATAAAAATCATCACTCTAAGATAATTTTCCGCGAAGTTACCGCCGGTCAAAGTTCGCCAGATTTCCAGTCCTAGCCGAGGACGATACATCGCGCCCTCTCTTCTCCGTCGCTCCTCCATTTCTCCAGCACATCCCACGTTCCAAAATTAAACATAGAATCGTTCAAACAGCTGGCTAAAGCGTGAACACATCGCCGCACCTAAGACATCTCAAAATATTCCACAGAATCGAAGCATTTCAATCAATGAAATCAAACACGCGAAGCAAAGTTACACGACATCGATCACCATTTCGACACCCTTGCCGCTCGCGAATCCTAATAAAACGAAGAAATTTCTACAGATTAGCAAGAGCGATTAAATTTCAAATAATTCCATCACCCGCATACGGGTGACGCGGCTGTCAAAGCGTCCGTCGAACAAAGTCGCGGCGGACGGTCGCGGACCGACGAGGCGATCGTCGCCGGGAGAAAATCCCTCCGGCGGAACCCGGCGAACGGTTTAATCAGGTTTAATTAGTCTTTCTAATGAAGCGGTTCGAGCGTGTCCCGGATGTGCCGCGGATTCTGCTGCTAATTCTTTCTTTCCCGGTCCGCGTACCGGGCGCCGCGCCGGGGCGCCGGGGTTAAGAAGAAGCGCGCGGGGATATCCCGGCGCGGCTCGTATCCCGCTCCTAAGAGGCTCGGAGATCTTCTGTTTCCGAGGCTTACGCTACCAAAGTAGATTTTGCGCATGCATGCGTGGCGGCACGGAGAGGAACAACCGACTGGAAAATTGTTGTCGCTTCGCGGCGCATTCTACCACCGGGGATCGCAGGCGGCCGCGGCGAAACTTCGAATTGAGTTGAGGGCCACTGAAATTGGCGGTGGTATCTCAAGCTTGCGAACGACCATTTCGTTAACCTACTTATTCTATCTCCGTTCCACTAGCGGACCCGACGGCTCGAGTACCTAGTTTGTCCGCAGTTTCCCCTTGCCTTCTCAAAACGCGCGCGGCCTCGTTCCGCAGGGAAATACAGTTTTCTTCCTCGCGGATTGTTCTTTAATGATGCCCCGGCTGCGTCCAGGGGGCGGCGGAGGGGGGAGGGGGGAGGGTCAGTAAATATCCATCGCATAAACAGCCGCGCACTTGTTAATTAGTTTAAATAGCGGCGGGCTAGAATTCCATTTGGAAGTTGGGCCCGGGCTATTAGTTAAGCCGCGTCGTTCTATCGGCGAACGCTTCTTGCGTCGACGGAACACCGCCGCGGCTCCGTTTTTCGCGCGCGATCCGCCGCACGAGGTCTCGCAAGGATGGACAAAGGTCGGAGAAACTGACGCCCGAAATTCACGGCTCGCGATTGGTACTGGATCGGACCACGTGGACTCGCGTTCTTCCATTTTGACTTGCTAGGACGGGGGTGTCAAACTCGCGGCCCGAGATGAACTTTCTCCCGAGATGAAATTTCTCCCGAAATAGGAAAGATAGTACCAGAGAAGAGATGTCAAGTATCAGGACGTAAACAATATATATATATAAAATCGATGTTTATAGAAACAAATATTTTTATTTTGACTAGTACATTGTAATAAACATATGTATGTATATATATATATAAAATCGATGTTCATAGAAACAAATATTTTTNCGGAACACCGCCGCGGCTCCGTTTTTCGCGCGCGATCCGCCGCACGAGGTCTCGCAAGGATGGACAAAGGTCGGAGAAACTGACGCCCGAAATTCACGGCTCGCGATTGGTACTGGATCGGACCACGTGGACTCGCGTTCTTCCATTTTGACTTGCTAGGACGGGGGTGTCAAACTCGCGGCCCGAGATGAACTTTCTCCCGAGATGAAATTTCTCCCGAAATAGGAAAGATAGTACCAGAGAAGAGATGTCAAGTATCAGGACGTAAACAATATATATATATAAAATCGATGTTTATAGAAACAAATATTTTTATTTTGACTAGTACATTGTAATAAACATATGTATGTATATATATATATATATATATATTACAATATATATTATATATATTAATATACATTACAATGTACTAGTCAAAATAAAAATATTTGTTTCTATGAACATTGATTTCTTTTTTTTTGCGGCACACCTAAAGTTAAGCATTGTTTATTTGGCCCAAGTTAGCTTTTGAGTTTGACACCCCTGTGCTAGGATATTAATTAATCGACTGTGGCGGCTCCTTTTCAGAGCGCGCGCTTTTATGTGTCGCGAGGATCAAGCGACGACGAGTATACTCGTCGCATTTATTTTATAAAATTAACAATTTCATTGCCAATATTTATTTATTCATTTAATATTGACGCATACTACGTGCATAATAAACGAGAAACGCAGGGAAGCGTTTAACAAAATAGATTTGATCACTGTTTAATAAAATGTTTAAAACGTTTAAAATGTTTTTGAATGTTTTACTGATTACAATCTATGATCTATCGGCCGTCGTGTTATGTCCTAAAGATCTTGAAATTTGAGAATATGCTTTCGTTTCCACTAAAAGTACAATTTAAATGGCCAATGGTCGCTGCTTTTTATTTTATTTAATTCGTCGCTGCAACGAGTATACTCGTCGCTTCTCTAAAATAAAATACTGCCGCTTCTACGTGACGAGTATACTCGTCGAACTAACAGCTAACTGATTAATACTAGACACGTGAGTAAATAACTTTCGCAAAGTTTTATCAGAAATAGCATTGATTTAATAAAACTGCAACCAGTTTTAAAACCATGCATACACGTTCGATTCTCTTAAAAAATGCCTGGAAATCAAGAAATACAGAGAAAAAATACCTCGTCCGTTAAGTATTGAAACGCTCACGACACGCAGATTTCAATGCTACTCACAGTTTTCACCGATTTAACCCGTTTATCGTCGAAAGCGGTGCGCAAAGAAGAAGAGAAGCGGTGGACATTTTCGCCGCATTTCTTAGAACACGCGCCGTTCGCGTTTGTCCGATCGATTCGGTTTCTGTAAATCGCGCGTTTAGTATTACAAGACCTCCCCGAAAAAGCTGAACAATTTCTTCGCAACGTCCACCACATCCCTCGATTCTTTACCTCGAATATTTACGAACTTTGACTCGCGTTTTCAAAAGCACCATTGAAACATTAAACATCGATGTCGCGACGAGCATCAAAAACTTTCGATTAATTTCAACTTCTATCTGCTCCGGTTCTCGAAAGCGAAGATCTTTTCGACAGTTGCGAAGATAGGGAGTACCGTAGTATGTTGGCGGTCGCACACCGCGTTTGATCGCACAGTTTTCCTGCATAATGCAGCGATAACGAGCCGGACACGTGCGCGAGGCGCTTGTTTTAAAAACAATCGGTGTCAGCGTCCGGCGATGCTATACACAGACGATGGAACTTTCTAAAAGTTACGCGTACCGGCGCAAAAATAGCTGCACTATTATTTCCACAACGGAAATAGGCGGTTCACATATCGGTGCACTCTGCTTAGAACTTTTCTGCCCGACGGCCGAGTCTATGGACTTTCGCCTAGAGGCGCACCGCGCCGTGTCTATTCTCGGCCTCCCCTGATCTTTTTTGCACCGATATCGACCGACAATCAGTTGGCAGCCGGCAAAAGTTCTCGGATAAGCCCGGGAACCGCTGCGTATGTCGCATTCAATACGGGTCATTGGATCTTCCCTTCGAATGCCGATAAATTCCGAATTTTTACGCCGCGAACACCGAACACAAGACGTATGTACTTCACCAGGGCGAACTTGTGCAACTCTATTAGACAGTGTCGGCCGATACGCGTC